TCTTTTGGGCATGGCCAGACCCTCTCTGGACATTAGTCATCTCCTTAGAATAAACCAGGGGCCCAACAGCCACATCATTAGCCTAAACTATCAGGGTCCCCCATGAATAACAAAAACACTCCTATATATTTCCAAAGAAGTCATCAATATATTTGTAAAGTGCTATAAGAGTCATGGCTGCAAAGGACAGCAAAGCTCCCAAGGTGCAACAGCAGATGAGAGCAGTTTGTTGGAAACTTTTTCCAGTTTGGGTACAGGTTATGGAGTAGGGTGGAGAGTCTCTTTCTGAACAGTTTTGCTTTATGCCCTTTCCCCACTAAAGCTTGACGGAACACACTAGAATTTGTAATCATTAAAGACAATAATGTAAAAAATAATGCTCAGTTTCAAAAATTCAAGTTCCTAGTCACCAGGCCCTTTCACTGAAAAATAGTTGTTTCATCACTTTGGCTTCTGGGAGAAATGCTTGGCACATCGTGAACAGGAATGATGAAAACATGAGGCAGCAGAAAGTCTCAGCACAGTGCAGTCTAAAAGGTTTGTCAGCATCCTTTATGTAATAAATAGTGGAGTCACTGGAAAACTACCTTTAAAAGCAGACATTTCTGGCCAAAATGAAAGATTTGCCAATGCATTTGAGAAAAAAAGTAGCATGAAGCAAAGCCAGGAGATATTCAAGGCAAGTTTCCTTATGTAAATATCCACAAGGAAGTACATCTGTAATAAAATCCCATTTAAACAAATTATACTAAATAGAAATTTGCATTGTATTTCTTTGTCAAGGTGGAGGTGGGGGAAGTGAGCAAGGGAGAGGCAGTTACCACTTGGGTAAAGGCAGCTCTGAAACGGTATTGCTAATCTGTGTGAGCCAAAGAGAAGTGTAGAGAACAAGACACTGCTGACTTCTCCTTTGTGTTTGGTTGACTTTTTCTACCCACATGGTTTTGAGAAGCCCCTTCTTGGGTATCACCAACAAAATGTTCACATCCACTGGATGTGAAATTTAAAATGATTGCATATCAAGAGCAGAAAGAAGTCATTTCTAATCATGTGGAAAAAATATGGAAAAGAGATTTTGAATTGAAATTCTTGGATTCTCTGTAGCATAGGAATGAAGCCATTTCTGAAGTACTCTGTGTTTGATTAAGAGGGGTTAGAAAAAGGTATAGAAAATTCACAGCCCACAGAGAGCTAAGATCAAGGATTTTCTGCGTGGTGAAGAATCAGGGTCAGGGACTCCTAATGAAGCCCTTTTTACATCAGGACCTGGCAGACAGAGTTGGTAGACTTTGCAACCGCAAGGAGAATTAGGCCATCTCTGGAAGAACAAATGATTAGAAATCAGATACTCTTTCTTGGTCAGGACAAAAGGGGTATCTCAACAAAGGAAATGGTAGTTAAAACATTCTACTCAGCAAATTCTGAAACTTCTTAAAAGGGGAGAATTTTAAATCATGGAGTAACTCAGATTAATTAATAGTTGCCTACCTAGAGGCCCCAAATTTTGTTTGCATTAGAATTGTAATGCTAAACTATTTTTTCCACCTCAATAAATCTTCAAATTTTTGCCAGCTGGGTCTTGATATGTACTATATTCACTAAGGAAATATCTCATGACAAGTGATTATATCTTAATTCTTATATGAGCTTCAAGGGTAAAATTCTTCAAACAGATTAATGCAAAGAGCAGGAGCAAAGTATTTTTTTTAACTAAATAACAGCTTTCTCTTCTTTCTCTACCCCTCTTTAAAAGCAGTAATCTTTATTTAACTTGGGGATATAATGTTAGGGAATAATGTCAAAATACTGACATATTATATCACTAGAGGCTCAATGCATGAAATGTGTGCAAGAGTAGGCCTTCCCTCCCTTGGCTACTGGCACCGGCTCTCCTCTGGCACCCGGGACCGGGGCTTCCCTTGCAGCCCCGGCTTCATCCAGAAGGTTGTCTGGTATAATTAGCATATTATGCTTTTATTATTATAGACTAGAGGCCTGGTGCATGAAATTTGTGCACGGGGGTTGGGGGGTGCTTAGCCCAGCCTGCACCCTCTCGCAATCCGGGACCACTGGCTCCTAACCGCTTGCCTGCTTGCCTCATAGCCCCTTAACCACTTGCCTGCCTGATCACCCCTAACCCCTCTGCCTGCCTTCCAGATTGCCCCTAACCACTCACCTGCCTGCCTGATGCCCCTAATTGCTCACCTGCCTGACTGATCTCCCCTAACCACCTCTGCCTTGGCCCCCCGCTGCTGCGGCTTCGTCGTCGGACAGGGTTCTCAACCTGTGGGTCGTGACTATCGGAAAACACATATAGCATATCAGATATTTACATTACGATTCATAACAGTAGCAAAATTACAGTTATGAAGTAGCAATGAAAATAATTTTATGGTTGGGGGTCACCACAACATGAGGAACTGTATTAAAGGGTCACGGCATTAGGAAGGTTGAGGACCACTGGTCCAGAAGATCATTTGGCTGTCCAGTCTAATTAGCATAGTATGCTTTTATTATTATAGATTGTATTCACTATTTTAAAAGGGCAAAATCTTTCATCAAGGATTTTTGAATGAGAAAATGTGTTTATGTCAGTGTCTTAAATTAAAATGATTGAAGCCTAAAGGTTTAATAATGGAAGCCTGTGCTACCTGCCTGCAAGATGGCACCAATGATCCCTGACTCCTGGTGGTCATGCCCTTGCATAGTCTCCTCCCACATTGAATTGGATTTACTTGTAACTTTAATGATATTTGGAGAATGACATTATATAACTTCCAAGGCTACATCATGAAAGACATGACTTTCACCGTGTTCTCTCTTGGATGCTTGCTCTGGAGAAAGTGATAACACTCAAGAGATTCTAGAGAGATCCTCATGGCTGGGAAATGAGATCTCCTCCCAACATCCGTGTGAGTGAGCCATCTTGGAAGAGGATCTTACAGCCCTAGTCAAATCTTCAGATGAATGCAGCCCCGTCATCATCTGATTCCAATCTCATGAGACCTTGAGGAAAGCTGTTTCTAGATTCCTGACCCACGGGAACTGCTGAGATAGTACACGTTTATTGTTGAAAATCACTAAGTTTGGGATCATTTATTACTTCAGCAATCTATTACAATGTCTTTTTCTCCCCCAAGAAATACTAATAGCAAAACAAATGAATACACCCATTTTAGGGCATTTACAAAGTTGGTAGCTTCTGTGGTCACTAGTACTTAATGAGGCCTTATCTCAAGGAATTTGCCCTTTAGTTCCTTGTGTCTCAAAGTGTTGTACCAAGGCCAGCAGTATTGGCATTATCTGAGAACTTGTTAGAAATACAGAATTACAAATTCTACCCCAGACCCGAATCAGAATCTGTATTTTATGAGATACCCCCAGTACATGTAAGCACATCGAAGTTTAAGAAGACGCCCTGATTTGACTCCTAATGGAAACCCTAGTTGTACATTACAAGCACTTAAAAAAAAATTATTGGAGAAGCTCATCCCCAGAAATTCTAATTAATTGGTTTGGGTTGAGGTCTATCATGGCTGTGGCTCTAATTATCAGAATTTCCCCCCCTCAAAAAACTACATTGAAGTCTCAGATCAGCTCTGACTTCTCAGCATGCTCCAGTCCTGGTTCTAGAAGTCAGGTATGCCCAAGTATGTTCCCGAAACTGCCCTGAAGGAACAATGGGTACAAGTCAGTTTGGATTCGCCGTCTAGGGCGACTCAGAACTAGGTGTTGAATAATCCAAGGTTTCAGGGTAGCTTACACACCTATCAGAATACAACCAAACATTTTTTAGTTTCATCGTTCCTGGAGGGCAAAAGGTTGGTAACTAAGATTCTCACAAGCCTTTGGAAAATATGCTTTACTGTTGACCAGACACTACTAAATTAAGATTTCCAATATGATGGGTGCTTACAAATGTTCAACCCACTATATAGTAAATAGCTCAAATTGGCAACACTAAGTACCACCTGAATGTAAGAGGTGGGGGAGGAGAGTGCAGGGACTAGGGATTGAAGGTTTTTATTTATTTTTTTTATTTTTACTAATGCATCCCAAATGACGGAAACACAATACCTGGCACACAGCATGCTCTTAATTAATAAGTATTTGTAGGTTAAATAAACCCCCTCAGAAACCAATAACTTCTGATAATTCATGCATTCTAAGTCACTGAATGTGCCAAGTTAGTGAACCTCCAGTGGAAATTGTGGAGGCTGTTCTACCAAAGAATGTCTAAATAAAGCTCCAAATCCTTTAAAAATTGAAATGTGTGCCCTAACTCAGTGCCATATTTCAAATGTCTTGCCTAATTTGTCCTGGATTCCTCTTTTGGAGGCTGGCTGAGGGATGTGATCCCTGCCCTTGAATCTCCTTCCTTTGTGGTTTTTTTTTTTTTGCCTGTGCGTACACATTTCCTAGGCCGAGGAGCGCATGCCGCGGCTGCGCCCATTGGCGCGTGTGCGCGCGGGCTTGTAGCTGTCAGATGAACCGGGCTGCCTAGGACCCAGGGGGAGCCGCTCCTCGCGCACTGCAGCCCCTCCGCGCCGACCGGTC